TTAGGATTGCTCAGGTTGGCACCAGAAAAGGAGGAAAGTGAAAAAAACCTCAAGAAACAACAAAAAAAGAAAACAACCCGCCCAAAAGGTCTTATTCTAAGAGGCATGCTTCCTCTCCACCCCCACTTTCCAGCTCAGCCCAACCTGTTTACACTACCAAAGCCAAACGCATTAGTGTTTGGATAGACTGACCTTTGCTTTCACAAAAAGGGCTGTCACGACGACTGCGTAAATGAAGAGGAATCCATCCAGTAAGTAGCAGAGTCTTGGGTCTGTCAGTCCAAGAACTGGTACAGCATCTGTACAGGAACACCAGATATATCAAGAAACAAGGCCATTTGTATCGCTGTTGCTTGACGGCACAAATGTGGCAGGGGTGCCTAGCGCTCCATGGAAAACTAGCCAGTATGAGGGCAAGCCTGTCCATTTGCAAAAGAGTTGGAAATCTGAATAAGAATCATAGGATTAATTAGGTCGGAAGGGACCACTGAAGGTTCAAGCCTGTCTCTTAACAAGGTCAGTTAAGACAGGCTGTCCAGGACCTCAGCCAGCTGAGTCAGAGTATCTCCAAGGATGGAAATGTTTGCAACTTCCCTCAACCAATACAGGACATTTTACCCTACGTTTCCCACCCCACAGAGTCCAGGCTCTTCTCCCTGCAGCTCGCAGGTGTGGGTCAGGGCGAGAGCACAGGATATGCATGGAGCTAACCAAGGATGGCTAACACTGTGGTTACTGCAAGAAAACCACTGGGAAAACCCAGCAGCACCTCCTGCAGTGATTCATTACTGAGCCTGGTGGGGATTCCTTCATCAACTAAAACTTGTGTGTGGACAAAATTTTAGGGAAGGGCTTCTCAGGACAGAATTTTGTGTCAAATGTAAAGAAAGATCGACAGCACCGTAGTCAGCTGGAGATCCAGGCTGAAATGGCTACTCTGTTCAGAAGAGAAATCTGAAGGTGCATCTCCCGTATCCCAGGTTGTACATTGTAACCATAAAGCTGCAGTGTCTTCACTGTAAGGGTTCTCTTGAGCTCCCAGTTTGGGGATGTTGGAGACAATTAATCATGAGAAGGGAATTATGGGCAGGAGAGAGACACTTTTAACCCCAGATGTCAGGACACGTCCATGAGATACCAGTGAGACACCCTGATGTGCTTCTGGTTTGAGAGGAAGGTTTTAAACCTGAATTCCCTGCACAGGAACCTCAACCAGCTGCTCTTGATAGATGGATTGTCCCCAGAAGATTTTAATTTTTGTTTGTGTTTAAAAAAGTGTTAAAACTTTTGTGAGGGAGAAAAATCTACTACTACGCTAATTGAGAGCTCAATAAAATTGTAACTCAGAAGATGCTGATGTTCATTTCCTAGTCAACATTGCATATATTTATACCCTGACTGCATCAAGCAGGACACAGTAATGTTGGGTTTTCAGCAGCTAAAAACTGATGAAACTGCCCCTGTATCAGTTTGTAGACATGTAGTAAGTTCACAAATGTAGCTAAAAAAATCAAAGCAATTCAGGTCAAGAAGCCTAAGTAACTATAGACCCAACATGCAGCTCCAGGTCCATCCCCAAAGTAAAAGCTGTTTTGCACAATTACTAAAAAAAAAAAAAAAAAAAAAAAACAAAAAATCTAAGTTGTGCTTTGTACAAAGAATTGGAGGGACTTCAAAAGAGAAAGACAAGAATGATCAAGAGTCTGTGAAGCCTTTCGATAAAGATGAAAAGAATTGGTATGATTCATCTCCTTCCTTAGGTGAACAAAGTATGGGGAATTCTCATTAACCACAGGTGATGGCAGGTAGTTGAACCACTCAGTGCAGCGCTTCAAGGTGCTGAGTTACTGCAGTGCTGAGAGCGGGACCACTCTGTGCCTTAGACTTGGCCCATGGGGCCATGCCGATAATTTCATTGCAAGAGACTTGCAGGTGACATTCAGGCGGCACGCACTCACCGCTGTGATGAAGTCTGCTTTGCAGAAACAACGTTAGTGATGATGGCCTGTCATACTGCTCAGGTGTGCAATTTGTATAAGGCATGACTGAAAAGCTGTGCCTGGATTCTTGGTAATAGAATCGTAAAATCTCAAGTAGATGATGATACAGTCACTGTTCCCAGTGAAAGCCTAAAATAGCCAGAAGAAAACCCAAACATTTCCAAACAGTAGATTTGTTTGCTTGTCTGAACTAGGAGTTTGCATTCATTTTTTTTCAATCGTGTGTTTAGAAACAAATCCATGGAAATAAATTAAGATTAAGATCCTATCTGGTTTTCGTTCTTCCTCTCCTATTTCTATTATTTTAAAAATGAGGTTCAAAGCACTTTATAAACAATAACCTTCATCACATTTTTTTCAGGATTATAAAACCACATATACATGAGGTAACTGGAGACAGAGAGATTAAATTGTTTGCCCGACCTTGTACATTAAACCAACAAACAAGCTAAGATTATTTTCCTAGAGTTTTTCTTCTAAACAGTCACAGGACAATATTTTACACAAACCTTTATTTTATAGACAATACTTTATATTTTGAGTTGGTTCAACACAAAACCAGCTTGAATCACATTAAACCTGGTAGCTAAAATGCAGCATTGGGGAATACAGCTGTGCAGCATCCAGAGGCAATTTGTTTCTAGCAGTAACTCAGCTGCTTTTGTGCAGTTGCAGTGGCCTGCCCCAGAGTACTCTGGCCTCGAGCTGGATGGGCCCAGAAGCAGCTCAGGGTTTTCCAGTGCTGTGCCCAGATCAGACATACAAATTAAGGAAGGTAAGCAGCCCAGCATAGAGCCAGGAAGCCCTGGGGGTATCTGAGATGCTGCTGAAGAAGGCTTTGGGGATCCTGGCCCTGACTCCCCTCCTCCTGTGCTGAAGCAGGGTATGTTCACACGGTCATCTCAAGTCCAGTATTTCTCCAGCACTAATAAACTCCCCAGACCAGGAGGAGTTTGAACAGGAGACGTAGAGGACTACGGAGAAGTCAAGAGTGCCAGGGACTTAGCGGTAGCTCCGTGTCAGTTGTGGTCAACGTTGGCTGACTCTGCGGAGCTGCCCAAGTGCCCACACGGTGCTGGGCAACCTGGCCTCTGGCGCCCCAGGTAATGGATCAAAGCTGTTCAGTGAGGGAAATCCTGCTAGCCATAGTCTGCCTGTGACTGTTAATGGAAAAATATGTATTGAGACAATGACAAACTCCAACATTTAGAAACAAACAAAGAAAATTAGTTAGCTCATGTCTTTTCCTTCCTTAATATGTTTGATTTCTGTATTCTTTAAAAAAAAAAAGGTACAAAGCACTTTCTAAATAATAACCTTTGCAATAGCTTTCCGGATTAGAAAGCGAGAGAGAAAAAGACAAAAGATATAAAGCCAATTGAAACAAAGGTCAAAGAGATATGAAGCGTAATGAACAAGCAGCAGTTAAAACAGTTAGCATCCATTCCTGTGAACAGGATCAGCTCAGGTTTTTAAATTGCTAGAGGAGGAGTTACTGCCTCTTCAGTATTGGCGCAACATGCGCAAACAGAAGGCCAGTCCCTTAGGTGCCACCGAAGTGTACTCTCTGCCCCTCATCAGCCCTTAGCTGTGGTTTGAGGGGCTGAGGCCAAGGTCATACTGCTCCAGTGGATGGGCTGATGGTGGGAGCTGAGCAGAGCCAAGCCTGCCAGGCTTGAGGGAGCAGTCACACTCAGCTGCCTCAGGCAGAGCACAGCACAAATGATAAATATTTCACTGATAATTCCCAAATTTCCCTGTTAACCTTACAGATTACCCACTGCCTACTGCGAGATGCGCAGCACCTTTTCAATATTCATATGCCAGTGTTTTTCCAGTCCAAATTTCAGCAATCCAGTAACACACAGCAGGGTTTTAAAGCAAGATGTCTAAGTACAGGAACGTGGCAGAGCTAATGTCAAGTCACAGGCCGGCAGGGAATACAGTTGCATTGCATTGTAAATGATGTCAAGCTTACTGCTTAAACATGGCTCAGACAAAGAGCATCTCTCTCCCCAGGCATCAAAAAGGAGTTGAGTCACAAGTCGACATCTAGGTACACAAATACACGAGGGTTTAAGGATGAGGTCAAAGTGGTGCTCTTGCTCGGGAGGGAAGCAAGCTCTGAAGGAATAGCAATTAGAAAGTTTGCACTTACTCTTGCTCACCACGTGCTCCTATGCAAGTAGCTGCACAGTTAGATCTCCCGTTGAACAGTGGGGATGAATTTATTATAGATGTTAAGGAAAACCAGAAACAAACTATGCAACTTACAGCATTAGGTATTAACAGCAATGGAAAGCTTTGTACAAGGAGCTGACACAGGCTGAGCAAGGGCTGGCAGAGCCATAGTCGATGAGGCGGCAGGAAAGGAGATGGAGTCAGAAAGGGGAGCACCGCTGCATTGCATGACAAGGTTGTCAGCACTTCTCAATGCCAAACCCGAGATGCCTGTCACCACATAGGACTTTTTCCCAAGCTATGTTTCTACCGCTGAGCTGTTTCTTCCCAGCACCTCCTCCTTCCAAAGCCTGGATTTTTTTTCCCCACTTCTTCTCTCCTCCCACCCAGTGGTGCAGCCCTGCCCTCCTCTATGCCCAGGCACTCTCTCCTGCCACTGCAGGTCCGTGCACACACACGTCCGGACCCCAGGCTGGCACACCACCCTCGTCCTGCTCCACACTTGTGCCCCCGGAGCAGACAACCCGCTCTGTGGCCTTTTAGTTTTTAAAGCAGGGAGGTGGGAGGGAAAAAAAAAAAACCAATTCACACCAACACTAGAGACAAGCGAGTGAGAAAAAAAAAACCCTTTAGCAACAGACCGACAGCAACCCCGGTAGCCAAAGGAGAGGAAGCCTGGGGGTCGGCGAGGGAGGCCATGCTGCAGGCGCCTGCTTTGAGAGCACTGCGTGGCAGCCCACCCTGTGCGGTGCGGTTTCGGAGAGCAGTTTCAACCCCCTCGCTCAGGCCCAGCACCAGCTTTCCTGCACATGGCCCTGCGTTTATCTCCAACCTCCTGCCCACCCACTGCCTGCACACGCCACCAGCTGCTCCCCTGCTCCAGCCTCAGAGACAGCTAGGGAATCCCAAAACCCATGTCCAGACACATCAGTCCCGCTCCAAAACATGGCACCATTGGTGGATGATGCAACCCAAGACTGCCCGAGGCCTGGTCCACAGGACTGGCCCCCACTGCCAGCTCAATGCAGCCAGTCCCAACAGGGAGCTGCTGAAACATATCACTGAAACATGGCCTGGAGCCTTGAAACACGCTGATGCATTTTTTTAAAAAGTAGGAT